CCATCCTAAGGGCATGGTCTGAGCTGGGGCGTAAGAGGTGTGTGGAATTCAGGGTTTCAGGTCAGTCAGGGGCCAGAACTCGACAGAATTAGCCCGGAAGCCTACACGCTTAGGTCTCACTGGGGTTCGTGTGGGGCTTCGTGCTGCTAACATACAAGGGAGCCCAGGGTAAGAACTGTAAACCTTACCTGATGTATTCAGGTCCTCGCACTACAGGGTCGTCCAATGTTTTGGGCTAAGGTTTCCTCAGGACGCACTTGACTTTAGCACGTGCGTTCAAGATTCCAGCATACATAGACTTATTCATCGAAATATGCGTCGTCGTGCAACTATACATGGGCAATATACCAATGAGTACGGAGAAGTAGAAACCAACAAGCAGATACACATGCAAACAATCATGGGTCACTATGGTTCCACATCTCCCCATATCTACCTTTACCTGTATCTGTCGATCTGTCGATCTATCTAATTATGTATCCATCTATCTACCCATCTATCTATATCGCTATCTATCTGTATGCCTGTCTGTAATGTGTATCTCTGCTATCTGTCTTATCTTCCTGTAAACCTGTCTACCAAAACCAATCTATCTACCTAACTACCTATCTATCAATCTATCTAACTCAGGTTGAAGATTTTGGACGGATTCGCGGGATCTTCCTCGCAGCGGGCCGGGTGACGCCAGTTTTGCAGGAGGAAGGCGTCAAATGCACAGGCTTCCTGTCCTGGCCTGGGCGATGCTTTAGGACCCGGAATTGCAGGTTAGAGCACTAAGGATCCTAAACCCTAAAACCTAAACCCTAAACCGTTAACGCCCAAACCCTGAACCCTGAAACCCTAAACAATCATCATAAAGCCTAAACCCGCATGCTCATCCCTGAAAGCCCTATAAACCCTAAACTAGGGACCGGTGTTGCATTGATCTGAAACAGCCGCAACCTCCATCTTTGGAGGGTCCTACAAGTAGTATTTATAGTTTTCTACCCCCCCCCCAACACAACAAGAAGCCCTAAGGGTCCATGTACCCATATAGAGATACATGAGCCCCAAAGTACCTATATAGGGACTACATTGAGGCCAATGTATATACTATATGTGTACATGGACCCTTAGGGAATAGGGAGCCCTACGGCCCTGCGACCGGAAAGTTATGGTAGGCGAAGATAGGGCAGAGCTTCTCTTGATGTTGGATTTAGCTTTTCCTACATCCCGTTCCGTCAGCAGGTGGCGTTTAGGGTTGAGGATCTTAGGGCTTCGGTTAAAGGGTGGCGGGTGTATGGGATTCGAATAGAGCGTTGGAAGAAAGAGGACAGGGCCATGCAGGGCCTTAGGGTTGGCAAGATCTGTGCTTCTGAAGTGTGTCTCTGTGCGTTTGCGTCGCCGGTGAGGGTTCACCAGGGTGGTTGGTTTGCTTGGCCTCTGCATTTCATTCTATCGTGCACATCAGCACAGACTCAACCTTGATGTCATGGTCAATCAACCTGTCTTGAAAGCTCTTATTGCTTGCAATCTGTTTCTCGTTACATTGGCATAACAGGGCGGGAGTTGGGTGGCACGAGGGTATTCGAACCTGGATACTGGGCATTCAGCTCTGAGCGTTGAAGAGTTGCATCCGTCAACCCCTGCTTACATCGTCCTCCCTCCGATGTGCCAAACTGAACGGACTGCTTCTGGCCCGATATCTTACCCTAGGCCTCTCCATGTACTTACAAAAACTATATATACTCGGGTCTTCAAAGGGTTCCTATTTAGGTACTTCGAGGCCTGCATAACACGTGTATACGACATAGGCACGGGCACATGGAGCCTTAGGGCTACCTACTCGAGGGAGTGATGAGGCGAAGGGCAATATGTTTTGGTTTGGGGTTTAGGGTTTGGTGTTTAGGGTTTAGGGTCGGAAGGTTGGGAGGTGATCTGGCCTCTTCTGAGGGAACGTACATACAGTTTTCAATGGGCAGGTGCAGAAACTCAAGAAGCAGCCCTTGCTACCGGAACTCTGCACCAACACCCTCAAAATCCGAAAGCCGGATAGAATATGGCTGCCGAGTCTGTAAGTCTAGGTGCTGCATTTCAGCAACTAGCCGAACAGACCCCTTAGGATTTCAGGTGTATGATGTACTGTAGAGTTTTCAAAAAAAGGCAAGCAAACGTGAAAAGCCTCTCGCGGCCCCACCCAAGTGCTCCATAGTAGTTCCTTTTTGACATTACCCTTTTAGGATCCATAGGTATGAGCCACACAAAAGAACTACTGTGGAGCCTCTCGTGTCCCCAGGCCACTCAATGCGCAGAGGCACAGAGATCCGGCGCACCGCAGACCAGAAGCTGGAACTCGCCAAAGGTACCTGAAAGCTCGGTTTAAGGTTTAGGGATGGGCAGGGATGTTTAGGGCTTGCGGAAGCTTAGGGTTTATGAATGCTTAGGGTTTGGGATGATTTCGCGGATGATAACTGAAAGGCCTTTCAGGGTTTAGGGTTAAAAGGGTTTAGGGTATAGGCTTCTCAAACCACAGAGCCTTTCCGGGAAAGGCCGTCAAACAAGAACCTCGGTTTGATTTCTCACAAAGCTGGTCTGAATGTAATTGTGATCTCCACAAACACCCTCTTCCTCAAGGGTAAAACCAGATGCTTCCCTGATCTGAGGATAGGTATACAGTGCACTTAAAGACTTCAAGGTCCTAACTTCGGTCATTAGGGTCGTAGTAAATTTTGGGGACTTACACGTTTTGCTCACATCCGTGTGCAAACCGTTGCCTTCGACCCAAACCTAGGCCCGAAAGCTTTGGAAACCACTTACCCTAAACCCTAAGCCCTCTAAACCCTAAAACCCTAAACCCTATAATGGGACCCCTGATGGATCCCTTCAGGGGATCCATTATTATAGTCCCGACTGACTGGGCCACGTCGCCGCTCCCCGGAACCATGGAGGTGGTCACTTTGACTTCGATGGCTGCCACACGCGGGATGAGCTTGAAGCCTAGGCACTAGGCAGAAGACTAGGCTAGATAAGATTACAGAGATGCATTAATCCCTTAAGGGATTACAACACATTAGCTGATGCGAACTTAATAGAGTCCAGCCGACAACTCTGTAAACCTCGGCCACTCCGAAGCCCCACCAGGACCCGGAACCTCCGTATATTGCATGCCTTGAAACTCAATCTAGCTCCCCTATGCCGTACTTCCCTACATCATGAACCTTCAACCCTAAAGCCCGAAACACGGCCCAAGGCTTCATCAATGACTCAGCAACGCCAAATTACAAAAAATCAACACTGAACCCTAGACCCAAATCCCACTCCCTGAACCCTATAGAGAATCCCAGAAAGTTGAAACATTGATTTAGGGTGATTTGCGCTGGTTTTCCTGCTTGCTTTGGTCTAAGGGTACTAGGATACTGATGTTCCAACTTTCTGTAGTTTACTGTATAACCCCAATTGACCCTCTGTCTCCTAATTCGCGGGCGCGTCACCGCTGACCGCGCCGTTCTGCGGCAGCCAGGTCTCCGACGCGGCGCGGCCGGAATCCTGGACGACTCGGGGTCCAGGGCTTCTAGGGTTTGGGTGGGCCTTAGGATTTAGAGGAGCTTTGGGGCACGATTCTGAACATCTCAAAGGGATCTCAGGCTCAAGTGATTGATGTGGGGAGTTTTCAAGCGCTTGTTCCTGTCCTGGATTCCTGCACAGCTACGGCCTGAACGCGGCAGCCTTCACCCTCAAACGAAGCACTTTGATCCCTCAAAGGAACATGAGGCATGAGGCTCAACCCTAAACCCCACACTAAATGGAAGTCTCAGACTCCATGACCAGCACAGGGCTGGGATTAAGCATTTTTTTCGGTTAAGGATGTTCAGGGCTTGCAGCTGCTCGTTTTTGAGGTAGTAGTTTGTAGTGGGTACTCGTATGGTTTGTGAAACTTGAGCTCATTTGGGGTTTCAGGAGACTTCAACGCGGAGCCCAGGGTCATCTCTTGCTGCTGCCGCAGCTCTCCCGCGGAAAGCCCAAGCACGAAAGCCAGAAACCGCAAGGTCAAGCCATAACTTCACAAGCTTTACGCCCAACATCCAGTTTCCAACTGAAGCACTCCTGTGAAGAAATTCAGGCTAACAGCTAGTGGTACAGAAAGCCAGACCTCAGGAAGGCTGTTGCCCTGAATCCCTAAACCCAACCCTGAACCCTATGTAAAGCCTCAGATCCAAACCCCCTAAACCGCAAATCCTAAAACCGTAAACCAAAACTCCTACAACTATACAACTAAAACCCCTAACTCCCAAATCCTAAAACCCTAAACCCAAATCCTACAATTATACAACTAAAGCCCCGCAACCCTGAACCCGCGATCTCCTCTGCCAGCTTCAAGCTCCAAATGATACACCTCTCGCGCGCCAGGGGATTTTCAACCTCTCGGCTAGGGGTGGTTGAAGGCTCCCTGCTTTTGAGGCGTCGGGTGTGGATGTCCTGTGAGTTTTGCAAGGTAGATGCACCTGGGAGGCACTAGCGTGGATTTCAGGGTACATTTTTGGGACAGAGTCGGTTCTTTCATGCTTTAGGTTCCGGGTCGGGTTTGTGCTTAGTTGGCTGTTCGTGCGCCGTTCTGACTTCGCCAGCCCTGGCGACAGGGGTGTATGCGGGCAGGCCTTTTCTCACTTTGAGTTCTTTGATTGCCAGTTTACGGATTTGGGCTCCAGGCTTGCAAGGAGACATTCGAAAACACACATCGCATAATAACCCCAAGCCGAGAACCACAAGTGTCATGCAAGCTTCAAGACTTGCAACATCTTGTAACAGCAGGGCTGGATCCTTTTGAAGCCGACACCTACTTCTGAGGGCGGTGCAAAACCTGAGACGACGAGTGTCCAACGGTCCAGCGCCTGCATATGAGCTCTGCCCACATGTGGAACAGGCTGCCACAAAAAATTGAAAAGCCAGCTGCACGCTGCGATGCCAGATCGACACCAAAACAACAAAATCCGGCGCTTGGACTTCCAGACGACTCCGGGTGATCACAATTTCACCATGCCTATCTGCAGCTGGCTCAGGAATTCCAGTGTCATCACCAGAGCTACAACTGGCAGGATGAAGGAGGCGAGTAGAAGTGCTGCCGCAAACAAAATGAACTTGTTGAATTGCCCTTGTAGAGCCAGACGCTGCTCACGCTCCGAGCTTGTCTCATCATCGTCATAAAACGGGGCGGCTGGTACTTTTGGAACCCTCGAGTATAACGAGGCTGCCAACGTGATGTTGCCGATGGCAATGGGGACACCGCACATGGGCACTAGGAGATCTTGTACGGGCCACCCATCAATCCATTGCAGATATGCGACAATGACAATTGCCACAGCAATCAACATCAAGTTCACCACTGTCAATGCAGTATTTCGAAATACCATGTTGACTGTCAATGCCTCAGCGACCATGCACATATCCCAAACAAGACTGAGTACGGGGATCGAGCCGGCAAAAGCAGAATCCGAGGCGCCTGTGGCGCAAATAACGATCCAAACAAGAAGTGTGCTGACCGATCCGACGACGGTTCCACTGGTGGGCTTCAAGCGATACGAATACACATACCTCCATGTGAGGTAGATTTCTGTGGCAACCCATGCTATCCCAACCAGCATCGCCATACAAGGTTGCTGGTGCTGTAGGTGATGAAAGAGTGCGACAAAGGTGACCTCCAACACAAGCAAGGTAGGCCCGGCAATTACCGAACCTACGGCAAAGGGAAGCTGCGCAAACTCCACGCCGTATTGCCCACACAAAAGCTGTAGAATGAACAGCTGGCAATTGTGGAAAAACAAATCGTAAAAGGACGTATTCAGAGGCACCATCCCTGCGCTCTTGCGAAGATCATGTGGCGATGTTCCGTCAATGCAAATCATGCCAGACATTACATAATTCCTGCCCCCGCTCGCGTGCACGAAGTCCTGGACAATCGGCCAAACAAGCTCAACGACTTCTGGAAAAGTGCTTGGCACCGCAGCTGTCCCACGAGGACTAAGGATTGCCATTGCAAGACAACTGCAGAGTGCCTCGCAGTAACCGTACAGTGCGAGATCTTTGACACAAGTTTCGCACCCCTCGGACTCGCTGTGCCGGCTTTGACACGGCGCTGCGGGAAAAAATGGCCGAGCGCGCACGCCGTCTTTAAGCTGAGCTCGAGAATGCAGGCGGCGCATCTTGTAGCGGCTCTGGAGCCACCGGTATCCGGTGACTTCATTGATTGCCGTCAGCTCCATGGAGTAAACTTGGCCACTTTCAAACATCCACAAAGAGCACCAATGCGATGTCACACCACCGCCGATGATTAGGACGTACGCAGCTTGTCTCTTTTGACTGAGCCTGTCTCCTGGCAGGACGATATCCTTCTCGGTCGGAAGTGCTGCTGGGGTCATCACCCCCGTGGGGGCCATAGAGGTGAGGCCCGAAAGGCCCATGATGAGCCGGCGATGATGCGTAGGCACCTGTACCTCAGATCAGTTCTGCGCCGATCTGGATGCTGACGAGCCGTGTGAACGAGGTGCCAACCCACAAGAAGTCAGACCGCTGCGAGTCGAAAATCAGCCCAACTCGAGCCCAACATCAGATGGCAGCTGCTGTTGAATTGCATTCCTATAGACATGCGAGTCTCGTTAAGAACCTCTCTCCGCCGACCCCCAATGCCACAAACTGAGCACCTGGAAGCTGGAGCAGGCTGAAGCTGAATTGCTTCCGAGCTAAAGCTTCTTAAGTTGAAGGTACCTTGTATTGCTACTTGACTGCAGGAGGCCCCTTCAGTTTGCAGGGACGACAACACCTCGCGTAGGTTTTCACTGCAGGTCTGCATGGCCTTCTCAGACAGGTAGACGTAAATATAGCAGAAGGCATTGTCCTTCAATGTGGCCAGCTCTGGGCTTTCAAACTCGGGTGGCTTAGCGGCTTAGCCATCAGACCGAAGAAAGATGCCAGTAAGAAACTTTTTTGCGGTTGCAAACATCTACACCCCCCAACAAACTCAAGCCCCACCTTCATCACTTCGACCCTTAAATGAAAGGGCACTCTCAGTGGGTATGTCCGGCACTACAGGAACTAATATACAGTTCCGCTGATGATAACTCCGAACGAAAGCCTAAATCAAAACCATATGGATAATGTGCTAAAAACTTCTCTCGCAAACCTTTGCGAGGGTCCCAGCAATGGTTTTGGCAGCTGCGTTCGTCAGGTGCCAGCGGGAAAGCATCGAAATCATCAATTTTCCTTGCAAGGACGGCCGGGGTGATCGGCATTTACTCCTTAGAGCTCTTTGCGAACTGACAGGCCTTGTAGTAGGGGCCCGGCCCAGCGGCCCAAGATCCTCTAGTCGTGGATCATACTGGGAAACTGCCCCCTATACAGTAACGGTCTACAATAAGCGTACTATCGAGGAATTGAGGGCCTCATATACTAGAGTATGATCTGCTCTGGAACTTGATCTAGCCTGCAGAAGACGGGTGCTGCTTCATCCCACACGAGAGCCTTGTCTCAAGCCTCAAAACTATGTCATCAGGGTTTAGGGTTTGGAGCATCACAGCACAGAAAGTCGTCGCCCTCCGTTGTAAACAGTGAGGAGCTGATGCTTCTGAGTGTCCTGATGCGAGAAAACTCCAACCCAAGGCAAAAACGACATCACACAACCACACAGCCTCCCCACCAAACTTGAGTCTTCAAGACGTGACACATCATATTTTAAATTCACTGTAGCCACCCAAACGAAAACCTTGAGCTCTGCACAGGAAAAAAGATGAACCACGAAAACATCTCCGCGGCTATAGCGGCTGGGGTGCAAGCCGCATCCTACTTTTTGAGCACTGTCGGACCGTAGGAGAAGTCCGGCTCATGTTTCAGACGCCTGTAGTGTGCAAACAGTATGTCTTCTTAAAAAACCATCCCGCCTCAAGTCCTAAGAGCCATGGAACCCTAAACTCTAACCTCGTACCCAAGCAAGTCATATTATTGAAGCAGCTTCACAAAAACACGAGTCTTTGCTGAGATACCTATATGGTAGGTATAAAGAAGTGTTCTCAAAAAAACCCTAATCAAATCCGATCGAAAATCTAAAAAGCTGACGGAGCCCGTTCATTAATATAACATTGCAGACCTCGGTAACAAGCCTTCTAGACCATGAACAAACCTCATAACAATGACCCGTTCATAACAATGACCCCCGCTGACCCAACCCAAGTGCACGTTTAATTCAAAAACACATAAAAACACCTTCTAGCAAGACAGGCACACAGAGACAAACACACGTGGCAATGCTGGCCAAGTTTCCCCAGGACGGCGTCCTCAGTCGAGGGGGCAGGTTTATCGTTTGCGCCGGCGATCATTGTGATGATAGAAACGATGCCATAATTTCCATGAACATGATAAAGGTACATAGGAAAGTACAAACGGCAATGGTCGAGAAGTGAAAGAAGATGGTGCTGATGGCGGCGGCGGTGATGGTGGGAAGGATGCCGTGCATAGTTCGAGCTGTTTCTCTTGTTGATGACAAACTCGCTGTAATGTTTCTTGGTATGATGAGCATAAGCACTGGTGCTTGACTTGTGTTCGCAGTGCGACTGCGGCCGCTGAAAGGTGTTTCATTTCGGACACTTTTTGAAGCCTAGGACATGTCGGGCGCCCTTCAACAAGCCATAGGGCTCCAGTTACCTAAACAACGGGTTATGTGAGTATGCAACTTGAAGTTCAGGGGAGAGGGATGATCATAAGGCAAAGGTCTTTGCGCACATAGCGCGCGAAGTTGACCACATCCGGGCCATGCTCCCATTCCTGCATAAATTCGTTGAGGCTGTTCTTGCGGTTGCAAAGTCTGGGATTTGTGGACCAACAGTCACGGCTTCTTGAAGTTCAAGATTTCGTATATCGACCTGAATTTTGCGCTGACTTTGGCTAATATATCGGCATTAGGAAAAGTTCAGTCCAGAGTAGTGCAGGCTGAATTGGTGCTTGGTGCGAGTGTACCATGGAAACTTGAACCATCAGACAGGGGTTCTTTGGTATACGATGTGCCCAGAGAGCCCAATACCCCTTAATTGAGGAATATAGCTTAAATCATATTATGCGCCCACCTATAATTTAAGCTATATTCCTTAATTAAGGGGTATTGGGCTCTCTGGGTGACTGTAGGTTTAGGGCTTAGGTTTCAGTGTTCCTCTTTTCGGAGTTGGGAATCTTCGCTCATGCGTATAGAAAAAGGGAAGTGTCGAGGATCGACACCAGAAGTCGTGCAGCATACGTCATTATGCACCCCATGCATCTTAAAGTCGTCGCTCGGAAAGTATGATTGACACACCACAGTGCACCTGCACCTCAACTTCTAACGATATTTCAGCTTTTTAACAAACTCGCCGGCCTTTTCCTCGAACTTCTTGGGCTTGTTCCTGATCCGGGCTTGGTTTCGGGTTGGCAATATGGGGCTGAACTTCGTTCGGGCTCATTTTTTGTAGAGAATGAACAAGTGCTTTAGAATATGGTGTTGGGGCATCCTCTACTACAGCTATAATCGGGAACGCCCCCCAAAAAATAGGAAACAATAAAGGCACCCATATTCGACGCATCGCACCCGGACGGCTATTGCTTCGAACCCTGAGATCCGACTGTTGTTCTAAACTAGACATGCGGAGTTCCGATCTCGCTTAGGGTTCATAGAGTTTGGGCGGCTTAGGGTTTAGGATCCAAAAACATGGGCCCACTAAGTGTCCTACGTACCTACATGCGGGATACTTACTCAAACCATGATAGTAAATCCTACTACAGAAGAACTACCGTCTACTACATAAGTACTTAGGATCCTTTGAGGGGGAGTTCCGGTGTGGCATCGTCGTGGGGTTGTTGGTGGCTGGGCCTTAGATGTTCAGGGACTCGGGTTTCGGGATGGACTTGGGACGTTTCGGGATGCAAGGATACTGAGACTTTTCGGCAGATGGTCTATGGGCTTAAGGCTTCTCTGGCTATTGAGTGAGGGCTTAAGGCCTAGGGCTTCTCTTCCTTCGGAGATTGCCTGGGTTACATGCAAGTCTTCAGGTTGCGTAATGGGATCTATGGGCCCTGTCTGCTCTTGACGCAGGGGCAAGAGTGGCTCCATTTCCCGCCCCCCTTCCTAAGAACCGAAGCCCGGAACCCTAAATCCCCCAATGCTTTAAACGCATCATACAAAAACGCAACGCCGTAAATCCCCAAACACAAAACCCCTAAACCCGTCGTAGCAAAAAACGGCAGAGAAACCTGAACCTCGGTTGAGATCCCCTTATGGAAACTCTGAGCTTTGGATGCTTGCGGTGGGATTGCTTCGAAGCAAGGGCTTTCGGCTTCGGGTTCGGCCATACGGAGAGTAAAAAGGTTTGGGCGTTTTTCACTGGAGTAGTGGAGTGAGGGTTTAAGAGTTTAGGGTTTAGGGTTTTGTGATTGGGGTTTGGTAAATTAGGGATTAGGGCCTAGTTCAATTCGGGTTTCGGAATTAGGTTGAGGGTTGCCGTTTAGGGCTTCACCTGCTGGACAATGATGCCAGCGGCGCGAAGAAGACATGACAGTGACGAGAATGACAACGGAAGGAATCCCTAACATAACGACTAGAGAGAACAAGGCCAGACCCACAACCCATAACTAGTCATCACAACATGCTACCTGTGCTGTGACAAATATTTGAGCATTGCTGACTGCCACTCCCCCCATCTCGCTGCACTGCGAGCTTCGTCAGTGCATGCGTGTGATCCATCGCAACGCAGCACAGTGATGGTCTTTGGGAATCTCCTCCACCAGGATATTGAAGCAATAGCAGACTCGATGCTTAGTATGAGAATTCCTTTATACTCCCTACAGGAATACAAAACAAGCACAGAATGTAGTGCAGAACATAAACCCCAATCTTGAGAGCCTGACATCTTAATGACATCCGAGGATATGCCACGACGGCGAATGTTGACGCTCGATGCACAGCAACTTCGGTTGGACCGCGGCTCTTAAAGTTTCTGAGAAGCAGTTTTCCGATGGTGCTCGTGCCTTCGGTCCAGATGTTGGTATTCAGGACTCAGAGTGAGGGGTTGGGAGTTTAGGGTTGTTGTTTCCTAGTGTTTAGGATTTAAGGATTGGGGTCCAGAAATTGGGGCTTTGGGTTTCGAGTGTCGTGCTCTGGGATGTGACGCCGGAACATGTAGAGAGCACCGAATGTGTATTGCTTTAGAGGTGTTGGTCTCAGATTTGAGGTCTGGGATTTGGACCTGGGGCCTTTAGGGACAACTTCGGCGCCTTTGGCTGATGTGCAGCTTTGCAATAAGAGTCAATTAACAGCTTATAGATGACGGCGACATGCCACGAACGGAGGAGGTCTGTTGTATCACTTTTGCGTGGGAAGGCTTTCCAACCCATGGTGTCGAGTTTAGGGGCTTGTGGCTTTACGGCTGGACATGGTTGGACTCCGTTCAGGGCAGGGGATGCCCATCAACTGACTAGCACGCTTTGGAGTAGCGTGTAAAATGGGAGCATGTATGTCATTCAGATTTCCAAGATGGACATCTATCGGTTCGAGCCATCCAAAGCTGAACTCATGAGAAACGCACAACACATCTTGGGCATTGCAAGTGTGGGGTTTTGGGAGTTTTGGGCTGAGAGTTTGCGTTTTTGCTGAGCACCCGTCCATGGTGAGCATGGCCGAAGCTCTTCTTGCAGAACTGCTTGCCGTCGCAGCCGTACCGCGAGCTCCTGCCGACGAAATTAACTGTGGTGGCATTGGTTTGAGACTTTGGGTTTAGGCTTTTGACTAGGGTTGAGGTTTGAGGGTTTTGAGGGTTAAAGGATGGCTTAGGAAGTTCAGCCCCTCAACGCGTAAAACCCAGAAACCGGCTACACCATCACCATGAATTCTTATAAGCATACGCCTGTGAACACGAAAAAGGCCACTGCAAGGCGAATCCTTAACAGCCCCAAGCCTTGTCTGCTCCGCGACTCTACTCAAGGCTGCGAGCACGAGCATCCCCTAACGGAAGCGCACCTCTACATTCACCAGACCGGAGCTCTATATGGGGGTTTCCGAAAATCGGGGACCCTAATATAGTACCCCAAATAGTAGGACCCTTATTATAAAGGACCTCTAAATAAGGTGCCCCTAGTTTCGGAAACTCCCATATGCTCTCTTCACAACTTCAATACCAAAGGGGCCTTATCGGGTAGAAGGGGGTTCGGGTATCTTGTAGCACAAGGTAGTATAAGTTATTACAGTCGATGCACAATCACCCGCAGCCCTTGAAGGAATCACCCAACTGACTACGGAAGGATCCTTCGCCTTGCCGTGAAACTTAAACCGTACAGCCCTAGACCCGATAGCGCAAAGAAAACCCAAACCCCAAGCTGAAATTTGCCAAGCATGAGGGTGGGAGAAAGGACGCTGCTGTGATTCTGATAATGAAGCTTTGGACTTGGAGTTTGCGAATTAATGCTTCAGGGTTTAAGGCCAAGTTTAAGGACTACGGCGTAAGCTGCCGTAAAAAGCAAAGTTCTACAGCATCCGTGGAAAGCCGAAACACCTGAGCTCCAAATTGAAATCCCTACAAGTTCGAATCGCGTTAAGTACTATAGGGGCCTTGATAATTAGAATAGGGTTTTGGCACCCAATATATAGTTAGGTAACTATTTAGGCTGCTATATTATCGTACACGTTTAGATCCCACTTGCAGTAGCCCTTCTAGTCCCCTTTAAAGGAACCCTTAATTAGTGCAGTTTTGTTGGAACCCTGGGCCTCTGTGCTGGAAAGCAGGAGAAGCAGCCGTCCAAAGCCACCCTCCGCTTCAGGGCGCGTTAAATCCGAAACCAAGCCGTGAGCGGTTTAGGGCTTTTTATGGCTTAGGGTTTATTAGAGTCTTATGATTTCGGTTGTAGGGTTTAGGGGACTGAGAGTGGTGATGACGATGAGAAAGAATATCATGATGTTGATGGTGTTTGTCATCATCCATCATCATAGCCAGCAGCAGCATCATGTCGAACCATCGTGGTAATTACTCAGGCTACGACCGATGCAGCTGCCAGCCGTGTGAGGAAGATTCTCAACCCATTGGACGAGCATGGAAGATCGAATCTCAGTAAGCCAATGCCCCCAAGATCATATGCGTGCTGGGTATGGATTTTGCCATGCTACAGGCTACAGGACCATGTCTGGTGCAATGTCCCAAATCCAACACTCCCTGGTGTCCGAAGACAGCATGTGATATTGAGGCGGGCAAGGAACATCGGTATGTTTCCAATCTGGTGATGCTGGCACTCGACGTAGGCCGCCGTGCGCACTCCGTTGCAGCCATGGCAGCACAGCTGCATCTGCCCGCACCTCGATGGCCGCAGGAGATACTATAATAGGGTTCCTGAAAAAGATGTGGAGCGGTGTCCTCCTGCGCAATCACAAACTGCGCTTGACTATGCATTGGTTCTGGGATCTTTCCTAACTATCCAGTTGCCTGCATGAGCAAGGCGATGCGAGTTCACGACTGCCTTGGAAGGACATCCCAAACACTCGGGTTGGAATACCGCTCCACAATGACAGCGGAACTCCGGGAGTACTTGTCTTATTCTGACATACAAGCACCTTTGTCTCTTGGGTTGGGGAATCGGGTTTAAGAGTCCAAGACTCAGGGTTTCCGTGAATCAACAATCCTGGCGTAGAAGTGAAGCCATGGACCTTAATGATTAGACTTGGGTTTGGGGCCCATTATACTATAGTTATAGCTATAGTAAGGAACCTCCAAAATAATATTGGTAATTATTGAGGCCCCTATATTATTCACGGACATCTGTCGGTCAGAGAAGCGAATCGAACGAGCCTGGTCTAAGTCTTTGACCACCTACCCGGTTCGCTGCTGTGAGTCAACGACACTTCCCGGACAACCGTCTGATGCTCTGAAACTTGCAGTATGAAATCTCATGAAGTCTCCACATCAGGCGATGGGTATAGTGCTGGACCACGGACGTGCATCTGCCACTGCCCCACCGCTCAGCCTGACCCTACAGCCAACAAAAACTACGAAATAAGAACCAAAATCAAATGTGCACTGAGAATCCCCCACAAATCATTCATCCCTCATCCCAGACCCTGACCACTGGACCGCAACCGCAACCCAATACACCCCTGAACAAATTTCTCAGCTTCGTGGCTTGTGGAGCAAGGCCCAGGTCTTATTGCCGTAGGCTCGCTGAGCATCATGCAGGAGCATCGTTCGGGCCTCTTGCCGGGTTTGACCGTGTAGATGTGAGGCTGACCAAGGGGGCTTTATGATCGGATCTTTGACTAGTATCCGGTCTGTCTATAGTGCGGTGTGGGGCTCTCGTTGGGAAGATGTTGGACAGAGGGTCTGTGCTCGCTTGGAGGATTTTTGGAGAGCTTTCGGCTTCTTGAAGACCAACAATCTTTCAAACTCCCATTTTATGACGCATTAGACATGAAAGCTTGATCAGAGTTCATGCATTATGCAAGGCATTTCCACTGCCCAATAATCAAGAAATATTCCTTACACTGTAGTAGAAAGTCAATCATAGCAAAACCCCATATAAACCCTAAACCCTTCAACATGGTACCTGCTCTTAAACAAGGTATTCTTAAAAAAGGTAGGCTGTTTTCTTGAATTCTTAAACAAGGTAGGCTTTTTCTTGAGCCACGGGTAGACGCTCCAGGCTCCCGGGGCCTGCGCGTCGCAGCTTACCTGCGCCAGCTCGGCGCTCATTCCCGCCAACGGGTCCATGATCTCACCTTGTGTACTGCCCCTGTGCAGTAAGAGTAACAGTCGGCCATAGAGCTACTATTCATGTCCTTGTATATCTATATCATATTGTCCTTGTATCATATGTATATATTTATATAAACATACATCTATATAAACATATATATATATATATATATATATACATAAATATATGAATATATGTAATATTCAACCGGTACTGAGAGGGTCCGTGATCACACCTTGGGTCAGAGCCCAAAGATCCCAGGTACCCATTGACGGGGGAGCTTATCACGTATAGGTTAGTACGATATAGTATGGCAGAATGCAAAATAATATCACAGTCTGGTGTAATATGGTATAATATGGTAGACTGGGATATGATACAGTATGCGTGAGATACTCACAGATGCATTCTTATTACAAGAACATCTTGCGCGTGCTTTAATGTTCCGGCACAGGTAGGGTCGCCAAGAGCAGCACGGTCCATTAGGGTTGGTGTTTTCGGGTTTAGGCCCTGAGGAACCGTCATCAAGTGCAGGACATTTTGCGACCTTCACCACTCAACTTATGACCTCAAGCACCAAAAGTCCTGAAGTCCCAAACCATAGAACTGACAGACGTGGCCCCGACACTGCGCTCGAAACCGTGGTCGGTTTGTGTTCTAGCGTTTGGGGTGAGAGGCCGAGGGAGTCTACTTGGAGGGTCAGGGAGTTACTAAGCAAGGTCATAAGTACTATGCTTTTTGTAGTAGGGTCTCAAATCTCAACAGACAGTGAAACAGGAAACCCTAATCGAAACCTTGGACCTTAAACCTCACCCTCAATCCTAAGAACCCTAAACCCCGAACTCTGAAAACCTAGCTAAACTGAACTGGGTAGCAGATGCCCATGTGGCAGGACTTCATCTGTGTCGTAACCAGGTCTGAACCTGCAAACACTGTGCAGATCTGCGTGTCTGTCCACAGTTGCGTGGCATGAATGCGTTTATGCTATATACACAGCTAGGTAGACACAAAGGCAAACAACAGCGTAGTAATCAGAATTACAATCGTCATGACCATCTACGTAGAAGATCCATGATCATACGAAGACAATGCGACTGACAAACAAGAGTCACGATACTCATAATTATGACAATAACAACAGGTAACAATAACATCAAGTATTTTACTGATACGTTAAGAAAGCTTGTGCAGATGTTGGGTTTACACATACATATACATAAACGTATGTGTATATGAATATGTATATATACATACACAGTGAATACATATATAATGTATACAGATGTATACACATGAGAAACTAACCCCTACAAAACCCTTTGGTTTCTTCCTCTGCAGTGCCAGGAGCACATAAGCATAAGAATTTTATAGGGGTATCCCTACCTTATTGGGCTTCATCATAAGGGGGTTATATATGGGATATCCCTATCCTTATTGTTGCTTATGTGCTTTTTTTTTGGGGGGGGGCCCTTTGGCTTCTTCCTCTGCAGTGCCAGGAGCATTGACCGAAGCGGCGGCTTCGGTAGCGCCTTGACAGGCCGGGGCCTGGCAGCGGCATCCGCGCTTTAGGGTTTACAGTAGAAGCCAGAAAGTTGGAACATCGTTAGCCTCATTCCCTTAAGGTACAGTAGAGGGAATCCTAGCACTAATCATCCTAAATCCATGTTCCAACTTTCTGGGGTTCACTATAGGGTTTTGGGGTTTTGGGTTTATAGGGTTTAGTTTTGGGGGCCTTGATAGTTCGATTTCGACTAAAGGGTTCCTTTTTAGAGGATACTATAAGAGCTTCGTACAAGGGGCGTTCTAAGGGGTTTAGAGGGTTAGGGGTTTAGGGTTTGGGGCTGAGGGTTTTTAAGGTTTTGGGTTCACGGGCGCAGGGTAGAGAGGTTTAGGGTTTAGGGGTTAAGGCTAAGGCTTTCTAAGGGCCTAGCGGTTTAGTGGTTTAAGGTTTAGGGAACAAGCCCTGCGCACCAAATCCTGAACTACTCACTACTCTCTAAAGCTCTAAACGCTCTGCAACCTACACTTGGCCCTGATTTTTATCCTCGAACCTAAACCTGAACTGCGAAAGCCGTGTACACCCCAGCGTTGAATCCCAATGAACAACAACTCCAGAGCCTAGATTCATGGAAGCCTGCATCGTAGAATCCTAAAGACGAACGTCTAAGCATCAAAATGCAAGGTCAAGCCCTACGAGACCTTCTTACCAGCATCCTAAAACAGCGAAATTGACACCCTGCAACCCAAAACAATCTGCCCACAACTATTGAAACACAGGCCGCGCATACTGACTGACCTTCAACCTTGAACCATAGGGAGCAGACGGCACATCCTGAAACAACAAAGCTAATATAGGGGCCTTAATAATTAGAATAGGGTTTGGGGGCCCGTAATACTATAATTGTAATAAGGAACCCGTACACTAGTATAGGTAGTTATTTAGGCCCTTCTATTAACCTCTGGAGACCCCGGCCACAGTGCGGACCGTTTGGCAGCGGCGGAGCGCATGTGGTCCAATCGCTCCAACTGAGAGGGGACTCCGGGTCAGTTTTCTAGGGCCCTAACAATTAGAATAACCTAGGACTACACAAAGGGAATAAGGGTACTACTGGGCATCCTAGGGGTTTAGGGTTTGGGACTGATTTTTCACCAGAGGCTTTCTGCAGGGCTCTCTTAGGTGCAACATGGTTGTGCCGGATTTCGAGGGGTCAGGGATTTGAGGCTTGGGATTGAGGGTCTGGCTTTTGAACTCGGGGGTCATACAGGGTTTTTGCTTCAAAGCTTTGAGGCTTACTGATCCAGAGGGGCGGATTTAGTTTTGGGGTTGAGGGTGTCCAATGTAGAGTTAAATCGAGAAAGATGACGGAGAGAGACAGTGAGGGCGGGAGATACCGTGCAAGTTTTGCAGTGAGAGTTGCATGTATTGCTGATATATGGAACTCATGTAGACGAATGGTTAATGTACACCTGAACGTGTATACAGATACGCAGTATGCACAAACACATGTTTGCGGGCAAGGTTCAGCGCTCAAAAACACGTAATATGGGGATCTCACTACTTAGCAGGTTGAGGTATATTACACTCTAATTGTAAGAAGGAACCCTCAGGACCAATGTTGGCAAGCTCGGCGCATCCACCGAAACCAACGCTGCTCTCAGTGTTCTTCTCAATCTTAAGATGGTTGCGGCGACGGCGACGATGACGATGCCGCTGTTTAGGGGTCTGGGGTTTGGGATGCAAAGCAAGACTTCATTCCTGATTCCTGCTAGAAGATACTGCAAGAGGTACTAGCAAAGCCACACTTTCAACCTAAAGCCCATATCCTTTGGCCCCTAAACCGCGAATCCGGCAACCCCAGAATCCCAAAAGACTGCGGCCAAGCCCGACCAAGTGACTCAGTGCTGACGCATACCTTCACCCACGAAGTGATCCTGGGAGGCTTTCGGGATCAGGGCTTATGCTGTCCAGAAGTTATAAACTGAACTTAGAGCCCTAGCAAAAATTATAATTTTAGCTGTTTCTCAGGGATTATAATAACCAAAAAATAAAAAAATCTAAGTACCCCTAAGGTTATTAGAGTTTAGGGAGGCCTTAGTAG